TATAAAACGTGTGTCGGAAGCTATTGCTCGTCTAAAGAATAATCACATAATATTCCCTGATGAGAATATGCTACAGCAAAGGAAGCTTAATTTCTGGCACATTAGTGGATTTCCCAACGTTGTTGGAGCAATAGACTGTACCCGCGTTAAAATTACATCTCTCGGGGGTCAAAATGCAGAACTGTATCGAAATCGAAAAGAGTATTTTTCCATTAACGTGCAAGTTGTTTGCGGAGCAAATTTGGAAATTCTAAATATTGTCACACGCTGGCCAGGTAGCGTTCACGATGCGAGAATTTTTGATAACAGTCGCTTATGTGCAAAGTTTAAACGAGGGGACATTGATGGTATTTTACTGGGCGACAGTGGCTATCCATGTCGGCCTTATCTGATGACACCACTGTTGAATCCGCAAACACCGCAAGAGCGAAGATATAACATGGCCCAAATACGGACGAGAAATACGATAGAGAGAACATTTGGATTATTAAAGAGACTATTTCCATGCTTATCAATGAGTCTACGTACAAAACTAGAAACAACACTCACTATTATAATGTTGCTACAGCTACTTTGTACAACTTTGTCCGAAGCCGAAATTATCCGTTTGAAAAACCGGACTATATTCCAGAGGAAGATGACGAGATTCCGGATGTTGAAGGTCATGAAGGACGATTGGGTTTTGCTGTGCGCGACGCCTTGATAGTACAACATTTCACTTAAATTATAATAAGCCATCTTTAATATGTTTGAGAAAGGTTTCAAAACAACGGTTCAAAACAATGTTTCAAATACTATTTACATCATATATACCTGTACGTATTGTATATATTATAATTTATACCGTTTGCCAACTTGATTTCTATCACAACAACATATTAATTCATGAAATTGTTGTAATATTCATGACGTTTTTTGTTTAACATCAATCATTTCAATAATTATTGTTTGTGCAGGCTCTACCGCTCTAGCATGGGTGAATGGTCTCTGCTGTTCTTCTTCCTTAGGTTTTACGCGTTTTCTCATCGAATTCCAATACTCCAGTTCAGCGTTCAGCACTTCAAGCTTTCTTGTGTGTTCAGTGATCAATTTCAGTGATCAAGTTTTTTTTTACAACAATTCCATCTCCGTCTCATGTTGTTGTTCTTGCATGCTCAAACAACGCTCTTCTGCCGCAGATATTGGTTTCTTTGTGATCGTTGGTAACGACAAGGCAGCTTCTACAACAGTTGACGTTGTTGATGCGGAGTAACTGTAAATGATGGAAGTCACATAAAAACACCGTGCTTCCTAGTGAAATAATAAATTTAGAGTTGAGCCGGGCATTTATCCAACAAATGGGAAAACTGGAGCGGTTCAAGCAAGCACTCCTTGTGGCAGGGAAATTTTTCGTACTGGAAGGTTGAAAAAATTTCGCGTCGCTGGCGTTATACTCGTTGTACGCACACCACCATTGTCAAAAAATCTCATTGAGTGATGATGTCTAAGTGGAGCGCCTCGCTCTATATACAGCTACCCGTCCCAGAACCCCTTCTCTATATACTAACGGCTTTTTGAGAATTTCCAGATAACACACACTTATCAGTATTTTATAACAAGCACTCGCTCAACACCACTCCTGCCAGATCACGCTGAATCCATCTCTGCATCGAAGCGTAAAGTTTATATAAAATTGACTCTTAAAAGTTCTATTTCCTTTATCAGAGATTTATTACATGAACACGCAGCAAATTTACCAGGCTACAACCTACATGGAAAAACATATTCTATAGCTTGTATCTCCTCGTCTGCAAAATCTACCATAAAATTCTTCGGTTTCTAATCAGGGTTCCAACCTCGCAGTATCATTAGTGCTTCTTTAATGCTGTCAATATCCTCTTGTTGAATGACAAACAGCCCAACAACTTGGTAACCGACGTTGGTTTTAACACACAGGAAGAAAAGGGGAAGTGCATGCCTTCGTATGTGGCATCAAGCAGGCAGATGTTTCCATATCGTGCGAGTAAACGGCGTTGTTCCTTAGACTTGTAGCAAAACAGCAGATTGTGGTGTTGTATTGAAGTGAGCGCAGCTCTAATATCATTATCGATATCTTCAACCTCATCATCGTTATCGTCAGTGTCAGAAATAAGCGCATCTTCATTTGTTTCATCGCTGATATTCTGGGCAGTGTACGCCCGGAAGAAGAACATGTCGTCTGGTTTTTCTACTTTCCATGTAAAAAGCAAATGCTGAAGATAGTCTTGGTCAATTATTGTAAACCGTTTCTCTCTCTTAATTTTATTGATCTCATTTGCGATATCCTTTTTCTAGGAAAGCATCTTCTTCTTGTCTTTGGTGGAAGAGCCTTACCTTTAAAAAGGTCGTTCTTTACATATTGCTCCAAGTATCTTTTGATATCGCTAACCCTTCTAACGCTCATACCAATCAGCTCTGCTATCTTGTCTTTAACAGCAGGATCTATCACTTCACAAATACCTGCTGCCTGTCAATGAATTAATAATAAATATTTTTACTTCAATATTCATGTAATTATGTGATCTTAAATGCTTTGCATAAATTACTTTGTCGCCGGAGTTTGTGTGAGCACGATTGGGAGGGATTATAGCACCCAGATTTTGAATTGATGACTGAATACTGATTACGCGAATGCTAAACACTCGATATGCTTTCGCTAACATTGTATCATGTGTTAGCTAGCTAATTACCTCCCCAACGTTGTGGTTGATGTGATCATCTGGCCGTGGCAATTTCAGGGGCGGATCTAGGGGTAGTCAAACTAGTCACGCGACTAGGGTAAAAATTGCACAGATAAAATAATTCAGAAAATTCCAAGTACTCCAGTTTTAATATCCCATACAGCGTCAGAAGTCCGCATATTAATTTTCAAATGCTCTCCAGTAAGTCCAGTTATATATCTCATGCATTGCTTGAGCCAGCGTGCAGATTAGTCAAAAAAGCGGATGACTGCGTGAATTTTGACTAATCTGGGGCAGATTCAAGCCATTTGATTGGTCAATTCGCATTTTGACTAAAGTTTGCGGGGGGTTGACTAAATTGCGTAATATTCTTGCGTTCTGATTGGCTGTTTAAAGAAAACCTCTGGCTTCTGATTGGCTTGATGCGTTTGACTAGTTCGCTGCGTGGGGTAATCTAGTCAACTTCAGTCAATAGAAATAATAATAAAATTTTAGTTCGCAAAGTTTCAAAATTTGCTGAAGATTTTTTATCGAATACGATTGCTCATGCGAATTGACAATGCCAGTCCACGAGTACGAGACAATCAGGTCTGCGATTCGATTCGCAAAAGGCAGATCTTTCGAAAGAAATTCAAGCGGCAAATGCAAAGTCATCCGAAGAGCTTCTTGCCGCTATTTACGACACAAACAACATGCTGCCGAGAAATTTCCCTTGTTCGTAAGAAGTGTACAGCATTAAGGTAAATAATTCTGCTGATTTTCACATAAGCAATATATTACAATAATAATGAACTATTCAATATGTTTTGTGGCACTATAAATGTATGAGCCAGGTTTGTTATTGTATTTGCATATATTAGCGGTTCCCGGTCAGACCAAAAGGTCATTTAGAACTGATTATAATTTCATATCATGTAATTTTACATCAACCGAAGCTTTCCTGTCAGCATTCTTATCTAACAAACCTGTTTAGCACACAGATTTACAAATTTCTATGCCAAAACATGAAAGTCGGAGTTTAAAGCTTATAAAAGCATAGTTTGTCGTATAGTGTGGTGTAATATGATCTGTAATATGTATTATGAATAATTTTGTTTTAAAAACAAAATGCGCACCCCCTCCCCCCCACGAATCGTTCCGAAAAAATAATCGGGAGAAATGTACCTGCGGTAGTCGGACCGAAAATTTTTGACTAGGGTAAGAAAATTCCTAGATCCGCCCCTGGGCAATTTTATATAAAATCTAGACTCCGGTTTGGCATTCCCTTTCTTCAAAGAGTCTCTTAATTTTTTAGAGCTTTACTTCTTAAACCAAACTGTGTTACGCAGAATCTAAAACAGAAAATCATCGTTCATATAATTGGGTATATATCTATAAGCGTCCGTTCACACACCGCGCTATATAAATTAGCTATTAGCTTTCGTGGTAATCGCCATCGCTGTCGTCAGCAAATTCACGGTTCACATGAATGGGGGGGGGGGGTGTAAAACAAGGATTTCACTTTGCCTCAAATAGCTTGAAACACCAAAATTCAAAAAACTAAATCTAATCATTTTGCTAATCAACTTTTTTGCTTCATTGAAAGCTCCTCAGGTGCTGAATACCTTGTGAGAAAGCCCATTTTATTTTGTTTTCATCCGGTTATTACAAACTATTTTTTAAAAGTTTCTTTCCTACAGTTATCTCTTTACTTGTTTTTTTTACGGTAACTTTCCGACAATGATTTCTTTTCTTGGTTCTTATTTACACGTTATTTTTGACAGTATCTTTCCGACAGTTATATCTTTACTTGTTTGTTATTTCGAAGTTACTTTTTGTCTCTTTAATTACTTGGTTTTTCTGATAGAAGTTATTTCTTACAGTATCTTTCGTACGGTTATCGCTTTATTCGGTTTTTATTTTGAAATTCGTAATCTTTGGCGAGGGCTTCATTTGAAATTCAAGATCTACAATAGGCTTGGAATTTGAGATTCAAATCGGGAATGGGTAGCCCTCTGCCCTCTCTTCCCAATATATATTCACAATCCGGCACCAAACTTTTACAACGAGATCTTAAATGAAATTTCAAAACCAAATGAGAACAAAAGATCATGACCCAGTCTTGGTAATTGCCCAATTTCATTGAAGGAACCTTATACATCTTTAAAAAATCTTTCAACTATTACCTTTTCTAACTGGTTGCAAGTCGTTCGTCTCAGTGCATGAATTTTCTCACGATGTTTTACGGACTTTTTGAGAACAGTCGCAATTTCATCATGACCAAGGTGAATACACAATTCAAGAAGATTCATATTTCTTCCATCAATAAGAAATGTCCCACCTTTCCAAAAAATGATATTATTTTTTAACAGGATATTTACCAAATCGACCGAATTTTTCACGATTGCTATCTTTAGAATAATAGCGCCAAAAGTATGACTGCCGACTTTATTTGTAAGAGCTATATCAGCAACCTGTTCGACAAAATACTTGATCATTTCTAGTCCACCAGTATTGACAGCAGCGTGTAAAACTGTTGTCCCCTTACTATCTTCACCATTTACATCAGCACTTTTTTCAACAAGATATTTCACTATTTCGAGCACACTTTCAGCAACAGCAGAATGCAGCACAGTCCATCCGTTAGCATTCTTGCTATTTACATCGGCGCCTTTTTCAACAGGACATTTTACTATTTCTAGTGCACCTTCCGAAACAGCAGAGTGCAGCACAGTCCAACCGTGAGTACCCTTGCCATTGACATCAGCTTCCTTTTCAACAAGATATTTTACTATTTCCAGTGTACCCTCAGTAATAGCAGATTGCAGGACAGTCCTCCCGTGTGAATCCTTGCCATTTACATCAGCGCAATTTTCACCAAGATATTTTACTATTTCCAACATACCTTTTGCAATAGCAAAGTGCAGCACAGTCCTTCCGTTAGTCATCTTGCCATTTATATCGACGCCATTTTCCACAAGATATTCCACTATTTCCAGTGTACCCTCAGCAACAGCAGAGTGCAGCACAGTTATCCCGTCGGAATCCATGCCATTTACATCAGCGCAATTTTTGACAAGATATTTTACTGTTTCCAGCACATCTTTAGTAACAGCAGAGTGCAGCATAGTCAACCTGTCAGTATCCTTGCCATTAACCTCTGCACCCTTCAGTTCTACAAGATATTGTACTATTTCCAGTGTACCTTTGGTAACAGCATAATGCAGCACGGTTAACCCGTCAGTATCCTCGCCGTTTACATCAGCACCCTTTTCCACAAGATATTTTATTATTTCCAGCGTATCTTTACCAACGGAAGAGTGCAGCACAGTCCAACCACTAGTCTTTTTGCCATTTACATCAGCGCCCTTTATAACAAGGTATTTCTTTATTTCCATAGAACCTTTAGCAACAGCAGAGTGCAGCACAGTCCACCCTGTTGTCTTTCTTCCATTTACATTAGCGCCATTTTCAACAAGATATTTTACTATTTTTGGTGCACCTTTAATAACAGCAGAGTGCAGCACAGTCAACTCGTCTGTGTCCTTGCCATTTACATCAGCACCATTTTCAACAAGCTATTTTACCTTTCCTATCGCACCTTTAGTAACAGCAGAATGGAGCACAGTTCGCCCATCCGAATCCTTCCCATTTATATCAGTGCCCTTTTCCACAAGGTATTTTCGTATTGCAAGGCTACCTTTAGTAACGGTAGAATGCAGCACAGTCCATCCATTAGTCTTCTTGTCATTTACACCAACACCCTTTTCAACAAGATATTTTACTATATCTAGCCTACCTTCAGTAACAGCATAGTGCAGTACACACCAGCCGTCAGAATCCTTGCCATTAAAATCAGCGCCCATATCAACAAGATATTTTACCATTCAAAACCTGCTTTCAGTAACAGCAAAGTGCAGCGCAGTCCACCTATCAGTATCCTTGCCATTTACATCAGCGCCATTCCCAGCAAGATATTTTACTATTTTCAACATACCTTTATCGGCGCCATTTTCTACAAGATATTAAACTATTTCTAGCCTACCTTCAGTAACAGCAGAGTGCAGCACAGTCCACCCGTTAGGTTTCTTGCCATTTACATCCGCCCCCTTTTCAATGGATTGCTCTTTGCGAGTTTCCGTAGTGTAGTGGTTATCACGTGCGGCCCAACACGGAAGGTTCCCACTCCAATCCCATGCGAAAACATTTAGCTTTCTTTCCCTCTTTTAAACACAAAATTTTGCTACCTTGGTTCTTTTGAATGTATTTTGCACGATAATTGCTCGTGGAACACAAGTTACCGCACAGCAGATTTCAGACTCGAAGATGGCTAATGAAAATATTTCTGCAAAATAAACCGATAACAAATATACCGGATTCTACCAGTGATTTGCTTTAACCACTTTTAAGGTGGGATACAATTTCTCTAGTCTAGCGGTTATCAAGTGCTCTCTAGGGATGCAAGGTACACAGTTCGACCCTGTGCAGGAAAATATATGTCCGCTCTCTTTCCTTCCATATAACAATTTATTTAGACCTGTAACCGTCATGGCTCGTAGAAAACAATTTTTGATTTTAATTTCCGAAACGTAAAGAGTTTTTAAGTTATCTTACTAAAATTTCCATGATTCGATATTTTGCCAACTCGAATCATACGTAGCCCAGCGGCAACACTCGTGGTCCGCGCGCGTACACGCTACTCAGTGGTTAGCATATATTAATAAATTAATATAATTATGCTAATCACTGAGTAGTGTGTACGGGCGCGGACCACGAGTGTTGGGCTACCTATGCTTGAATTTAGAGACGAAACACTGTTTTTCAACCACGCAAAAGTTTTCGTAGTGTAGTGGTTATCACATGCGCTTCACACGCGCAAGGTCCCCAGTTCAATCCTGGGCGGAAACATTTCACTTTCTTTCGCCTCTTTTAAACACAAAATTTTGCTACCTTGGTTCTTTTGAATGTATTTTGCACGATAATTGCTCGTGGAACACAAGTTACCGAACAGCAGATTTCAGACTCGAAATTGGCTAATGAAAATATTTTCTGCAAAATAAACCGATTCCACCAGTGAACACTTTTAAGGTGCGATATAATTTCTCTAGTCTAGCGGTTATCAAGTGCTCTCTAGGGGTGCAAGGTACACAGTTCGACCCTGTGCAGGAAAATATATGTCCGCTGTCTTTCTTTCGATATAACAATTTATTTAGACCGGTAACCGTTATGGCTCGTAGAAAATAATTTTTGATTTCAATTTTTGAAACGTAAAGAGTTTTTAAGTTATCTTACTAAAATTTTATATAAACAATTAATAAATCAGCCGGATTACACCAGCTCCTTCCTTTGAACACTTCAAAGATGCTACGCAATTCATGTAGTGTAGCCGTAATCACGTTCACAAGTTATTGAATTAAAATTGCGAGGTTTTCATTTTTTGCCAATTCTAATTTGTAAAGGAAACATTCTTTATCAGCTACGCGAAAGTTTCCCTAGTGTAGTGGTTATCACATGCGCATCACGCGCGCAAGGTCCACAGTTCAATCATTGCGGAAACATTTCGCTTTCTTTCCTTCTTTTAAAGACACGAGTGTTTTGCGTTGAAAAGTTTAAAAGTTTAAACCCTTGAGTTGTGATTATTCTAATTGTGGTAAGCCAGCAAGGATGATATGCCCAAGGAGTTATGGAATAATATGAATAGTATATCATTATCACAATTGCCTGTGATTGTATCGATGTTTATATAAACGCAAATGCTTGTAAGAAATGTAGCGCAAAAATAATCGATACTATTGCATGCGTTATTATTACAAGGGTGGACAGCTCAAGTTTATCTGGAATAATCAGTTATAGCTTCAGATAAAAAAAATACATTCATTAATTTCTGACATTAAAAAGCATCTGAATATGAATGATTGATTTTACAAAATTACATAGCAATTGCCAGAGTGAAACATAAGTGTTATAATTATCTGCATGATAAGACATCAGCGGCTGGGAGCAAAAAATATTTTATTAATAAGCGGAGCCGTGTATCAAATTCGTATAAAACTACTCAAATTTCTTTTTCGAAAAATGGGAACACATGCAGGAAAGGATATGGTAAATGAATATTTCCCCTTTTTCAATTTTTCATCGGGGAGAAGGTGGTGATACTGGTATGTGTTATTCTCTATTTAATCAGTCACAGATACGAATTTTTTGCACCGGTATATGTGTGTACATTTTCAAGTATTAATTTTGATACGTATACTGCGTGTAGTGTTTATAGATGCTTCGTTGCCTGACCTTATTGTTGTTTCTATATTTTCACAAAACGCCTGTAAGTGATGCGTCCGATAAGGGTAATGTCGTAAGTATGAATGTTAACGGGAGAAATGATAGATATATTGTCTGAATGATAAAGTTGTACCTAAAAAGGTTCACTTTTTAGCTAGAACGCTTATCAAAAAAGTAACAAATAGATGTATTACAGATATATTATTGCTATCAAGTCATATAGACTTAAGAGAAACAGTGCGATTGGTTATGAATTTCTAAAGAATTTTCCTGAATTGAAATATGTACATGTACCATTGTAATTATTTTAAAGATTTTTTAAATATAGGTAATTAATACTACGGTCGTAAAATACATTCAGTATCTAATGTTATTTTTCCCTAAATATCACAAATTTCATAAAGTTACGATAGTCCAATACCATGGAATTTAATATCCCTGTAGAAGCATTCAACAATTCGAGGAAAAGGTATAGGTAGCTACCTTAACTTTATCCAAAAAGGCCAAATGCGGCCATGAGTACATTATTTTATATTTTATATTAATTATTTTTTATTGGACCTTTGTAAAACTTATGTACTTACACAGAAGAAATATGTGTACTGTGCTCGGTAGTAACTGTCTTGGGCGTTGGGGTACGTTTTCTTTGGAAAATATGCTTAAATGATTTTCTGTATGTTTGGTCCATCCAGGCGTAAATTACTGGATTAATAACACTGTTGAAGAATGGAAGAGTGTGGATTGTAGCAATGAGTATTTCCATCCGATACCAGTAGTTCAACGAGTTATTGTCGTTATCGGCAAAAATTGGGTAAAAACTTTCCAACATCGCCCAAATGAAGAAGGGACCCCAGCAAAATATGAACATTCCCACGACAATGAACAACATTTGAATAACTTTTAGATCCTGGCGAATGGTACTTATTCGCATATTCTGGTTGTGGAATGTTTGGCCCAGCACTCCATTTCGTAACATTTCTCGTCGCTTACGAGCAACAAGGAAAATTGAAACGTACATTACCAGTATCACCGTGGAAGGGACGAAAAAGGCACCAACTGACAAACAAACGTAAAAAATGTTTTCTTTGTTGCGATCAGCCGGACACATCATGGAATCAGTTACAATAAACCCGGAGCTTCCTGAATAAGACGTGGCAGAGAAGGTAGAAAGAGCAATCGCAATGAAAGCAATAATGAAAATAACTTTCAGCGATGTTGCTGTTGTCATTTGCGATCTATACCGAAATGGTTTAGCTATTTTCAGATATCGGTCGAAACTGATGAACGTCAGGGTTGATATGGATATCGTGAACGCGAAAGTGTCCATCCACACCATGGAACGACAAAGATGAATGGATATTGTGGATGTATATCTGTCAAGATAAAGTTGATAGACAGTAACTGGTGCCACAAATATACCAACCAAAAGATCAGCTGCAGCCAAATAAGCAATGAAATATTTACTAGGTTGATGAAGACATTTTTCTTTCCAGGTAGCAACTAACACTACTGTATTTCCAAGAATGGTGATTATACCGAAAAAAATTATCAGAACCTTTGCTGATAACTTAATTCGGAACATAAATTTTTCCCAATCACTGCTCATCCAATAGGCCATTTCTATTTCGAATTCATCTGTATAATTATGCATGGCGGTTGTATTGTTTGACAGATTCATTTGAAAACACGGACCTAAAGACATTGAATAGTGAGTTTAGTTAAAAAGAAACTTTACTTGTGAATATAAACATTTTTAATCCCAACTGCACAAAACCCTAAACATGGTGAAAAAAGACAATAGTCTGATCAAGGGTCGGTTAAAATCGTTGAAAATTTTTAAAATTTCAATGCCAGAAATCACGGATATGCAAGGGATGTGGAGATCGTAAAAATATTGCATGGATATTCTTAGATTCCTGAGATTTGATTGAATCATCATGAATGTAAAATTTGCCCGGGTTGTTTCTTGTAGACCTAGCCATATCGAAGTTCCTAACCAGGGATGATGTTTGGCGGTTTATGTCAACTCGTTTTTTGGATATTTTTATGTTTTGTATGGCACGTGATAAATGGCTAAAACTTTGGTTTGCAAAAGCAGGAAGAATACTAATGAAACATCTGTCTCAAAATATTTGGTTGAACTTATTGAGATCTATCTCAAAATATTTGGTTGAAAGATCTATCTCAAAATATTTGGTTGAACTCCTTCGCTGCAAATATATTCATGAATTACTACATCATTTTATACAAAACTCTATATTTTACTGCATTGCAGTCTTATGAGTCTAACAACCACGCTTCAAAGCTAAAATTTGCGTTCGGTGTGACCGAATGGTATCTCAAGCAAAATATATTCCCATGGCGGCATTCAAGATTTTCTTATTAAAGTTTTTATAATGCATAGTGGTAAATTACTCACATATAATGGGTCAATTAATAGGGTATATTTCTTGAATTCCAAAATGTACAACCTAACATTGAAATTTTGCTGTTTCACGCGAAGATAGCGTTGGGAAAACATCTTAGACCCCCTTTAACTTTCGAAAAACATCGAAGGCACGTAAAAGTACAAGACGAATATTTTTCTGAGTAGCTACATAATTATAACATAACATAATATTGTAACATAAATCATCGCACGGGCTCCGTGTATGATATTTTAGATTAATTGAACGAGTAAAAAATGACAGTATTTGCAATATTTAAAAAATTGACAGTATTTGCCAAAAAATAAATGGTGCTTGTGAAATTAATTCCAGATATTTTCGGCCACACGCGAATAAATCTATATTCTAAACAAAATATTTTCTGCATGCAATATGTTGCCAATTTCCTAACTTTCAGTTCTACCGATTCTAAATTCTTTCATTCGTAGTTGTCACCCCACCAACGTTAACGGTATAGTTTATGGAAAGCTGGCAATATTTGTTTTACTGACAGAAGAAGCAGCTGTTATTGTTATAATTAAAATTGGTGGTTCTTACAGGGGGGGGGGAGAAAGAGTAAGAAATGAGGGATTCATGTTATAATGACCAACTAACGTAAAAATATCCTATACTTTCAAGTATGAAAATCTCCTAAATAGTACAGTACGTGTTACATATTAGCAGAGTTCCTCGAATTTAATGCTCTATAATGGTTTATTTAATGACCTATAATCGTCTATAACTTTAGTTTTTTGAACAATTAGTGCCGCCGGTATAACGGCCGAGAAAACTTTCGTAAAAGAGGTTACCTATAATTGTGATACAGTTTTATTTGTTCTACGTAAATTCAAGTTACACCTTTTATGCGTTTAGCAAGAAAAATTTAGTTCCGTTAGCTCTATGTGTTTGAGGAAATAGTAGTTATTTCTCAATGTGTCAGTTCAGTCGCGACAGAAACAAAGTTGCAAAAACCAAGTTTATACATATAGACATTAGACAAACTGAAGTTATATATACCTTCTACTGAAACGTTCTACTAAAACTTCAATATCTGTTACCGTACTGTTTGTATGAGTGCATTAAAATAAAGCTTTGATCTGGCACGCTTAACTGAAGT